AGAGGAAGGAACATGAATAATCATCGATATACCAGAAGAAGAACACAAATCTGAGCACAAACAAGTCTGATATTTAGAGACTGTGCACAAAAAATCAGGGAGTCACATCTCCAACAACAGCTTGCATGGATTGATTGAGCAGTAGCAAACAAAAAAGTCATTAATGTGGAATCAGTGCTTCTCTAGGGAAGATTGCCCGAGAAAGAAAATAATTGAGATGTCACCAGCGTTTCCTCTGAAACTCTACGAGCAAAGACAGGTCAGGTACCATGTCACAGCACCCGTAATGGGATCGTGGGATCATTGGGGTGCGAGTTTTCGTTGTTGGCAACCAACTGCACGTCCAAAACACTGAGAGTGCATAAATCACACGCTACTCAACTCTTTAAATAAAGCTTACAAAAGGGAGATTCACAGCAATGCCATTCACTGAAAGATCTTAAAAGAACCCTTTTTCTTAGTGTGTGAAACACATTTTAATAATATAAAGATCCTATAAAGAACATTTTGTGTGCTGGAAAGATCCATGGATGTTAAAGATTCTTCATGGAACTATAGATGTCAATAAAGAAGCTTTATTTTCAAGAATGAAGCTCTTTTTGGCTGAATATTTAAAATTTCTGCTTTAACAAGCGCCATATTTTCATGTAGAGTAAGATGGGGAAAGATTAAAGATGGCACAAAATCTCATCTCAATGCATTTGATGAATGGCTGTACTCTTCTTAATGTTGTTATTTCATGTGTCTCTGGAAAATAGTGATCTGTGTACTGTATGAAGTTGAATATCAATAGGGATTTGTGGACAGTGTTTTGTGTGTGTGTGTGTGTGTGTGTGTTGAGGATAATAGTGTAAAGACAAAATTAGACATCTGGGGTAAGATGAAGATTTAACTGAATACATATTGTAATTCAATCGGGTTATTCAACATTTCCATGAGATATGTACATTTTAGAGATCTATTTTTAAAATATATAAAAATGTAAGACCATATAAGAATGACATCAAAAATTACTTATACACTCTGTAAAAGTTTACCCAGAGGTTTACCTTTTTGAATAATTTTACATTTTGGGCTATTATAACTAAATTAGCACATTTTCTATATGTTTCCCTTAATAACACATTGGCTGGTGCATCATTGTCCTGCTAAATCTAAATATGTTACAAATTATAATTAAAAGTAAATGCACATTGTTCTTAAGTGCAGTATCTTCCTCCATCTTACCCTGCTTTCTAGTTAGCGAACACTAATCAGTCATTTCTACTTCACTTGAGTGAAACAATGTCCACATCTCTGATGACACTCAGCAAAGAATCTCTCAAGATTGCTTTCCCATGTCATAGATGACCCTGTAACATTGCCATTTTGCTCAGTCTGCCCAAAAGCTCAGACAAGTACACTCCATCTTACTCATTGATTTATTGTAGGTTATTTCCGTCTGGGAGTGTGACAAGAATCGATTTTACTTTGGTTGAGGAGACTGCGTGTGAACTGTCGATAACCACAGCTACCTAATCACTTTGCACCCCCACTGTTGGCCAAACAAATCCACTGGACCTGACCATCTTAAATGACACAAACTAGCATTTTATTGCATTCACCTTCCCGACAAACAATTATGAGCCTTAGCGTCAGGAAGAGTAGCCTATATCGATTTACAGCAGGAAACGACGCTCCTATGGAGGACTGAGTCAGACTCTAGACTGTCCGGTGTGTGTGTGTGTGTGTCTGTGTGTGTGTGTCGCACATAATTACAGTTTCTACAAGGAAGGCATCAAAGCACAAAACAGATCTAAACAAATATGTGGGTGGATTTTGATGTGAGAGGACAACAGGGGACTGACTTTATCAATGGCGGGAGCGTTATTATGGATTTTGACTCATATTTTGGCCAAAAGCAATGTCTAAAGTAAAAACGTCTTGATGAATTAGTTTCTTACAAACACACATCGTTTCACTTCACAAGATGTTAACTGATGGACTGGAGTGGTGTTGGTTACTTGAGGATTATTGTGATGTTTTTATCAGCTGTTTGGACTCTCATTCTGACGGCACCCATTCACTGCAGATCATCTATTAGTGAGCAAGTGATGTAATGCTACATTTATACAAATCTGTTCCCATGAAGAAACAAACTCATCTTGGATGGCCTGAGAGTGAGTAATTTTAGCAAATTTCATTTTTGGGTTAACTCCTTTAAACATTTGGTATTAAAGGGTTTAATGCGTGCCCAAACAAATATTCCTCACCGCTACACAACCACCAGCAGCAGTGAGCTGTCGACACATGAAGGATGGATCCACTGATCTTGTTTACACACATTCTGACTCCTCCATCTGCATGTCTCCTCAGAAAGATGCGTCAGACCAGGTGACGTCTTTTCAATCTTCTGCTGTCCAGTTTTGGTGAGCCTGTGCCCAGACTGGCCTCAGTTTTCTGCCGTAACCTGACAGGAGCAGAAGCCAGTGTTGTTTCTGACAAACATTGCAATGCACGATTATTTTAGCTACCGTTGTCATCCTGTCAGCATGAACCATTCTTAACTCTCATTAAAAAAGCTATTTAGTCCACATCACTGCCACTCTGTAACAAGATGGTTGCATGATTATATATATATACACACACACACAACTCACAGTGAGAACAGGCAAATCTGGTGCAGTCCATGAGGATGAGATGTGATGTAGTGCTTAAAGCAGCTGGTGGAAACACAATAATACACACTGTGACTTTTGATATTGACCCTCCTTTGTTCATGGATTCATTATTCCATTTATGTACATACAGCTGTTTACACATTAAGACATTTGCTGGTATTAAAAGCAGTTGAAATGAATTTTTGCTGAGTTTATGGGTGATTCTATAATTGGAGATACATTTGGCATTGCAGAAAGTTAAGAAAGTATCTTTTCTTAACGTTAAAGTTTTTTTCAGTATCTTATTGAAAACATTTAATTTGAATAATTCAGTGCTTGCCAAACACAAGTTACTTCCTTTTTTTACTTTTAATGAAAAAAACATGTCTTTATGGTAGTTTGTCAACTCGGTTACGGACAAATTAGGCAATGTGTAGAGATAACAATAAACCACAAAAGGAAAAATCCTTCTTGTTTCATTAGACAAACAGTCCTTACATTCCAAGATTTGAAACTGAGATAATATTTCACCTATGCATACCTTAAAAATTAAAAAAAATACCAGTCTTCACAGAACCGTCCACTTGGAGCAAATATTTTTCATCTGAAAATGTATTATATACAATATCCAGCAAAAAAAAAGAAATGTTGAAATATTATAAGGGTGCAAAAATAAATCAATGCTTATTAGGATTTTAAACAACAAATTTATTGTTTTTTGTGAAAATAGTTCATAAACAGAGTTAACCCTTTAAATAACATAATTGTAAAGTGACAGAATTGTCCAATGGACTGTCAATTATGTTACCGCATTGTTACTCTACCTTGGTGACAGAGTTTGACGGTAACAGAATTGACAATTTTCTTTATTTTTTTGCCAAAAACTCCACTTGCTAGCATAAATGCTAAGAGCACATGGCACTAATGAACTCATGATTAAAAGACTTTTAAATAACACAAAGCGTGATCAATGAAAAAAAAAATGTTTTTCCTTTTGATATTGTGGTAACAGATTTGACACTTTATAAAATAACTCTTGGTGTAAGAACTTTTAGATTAAAATATTTTCTCAGAGAGAGCACATAGACTTTTCAGTGCTTCAGATCTTAACAGTGAGGGGAAGTGACATAATTTCCTGTATCTCATAGTTGTGGGAGATAATTCCACTCATTTAAAAGCAAAGTATGGTACGGTAACAGAGTTGACGCAAGATTTACAGATGCACATTTTTATAAGAAAAATGTTGTTTTTTAAAAAAAATAATGTTGTAGGATTAGGTAAATTACTCTTTAGGCCTTTTACAAATAAAATGAATGAAATATTACACATGGCACTAATGAACTCATGATTAAAAGACTTTTAAATAACACAAAGCGTGATCAATGAAAAAAAAAATGTTTTTCCTTTTGATATTGTGGTAACAGATTTGACACTTTATAAAATAACTCTTGGTGTAAGAACTTTTAGATTAAAATATTTTCTCAGAGAGAGCACATAGACTTTTCAGTGCTTCAGATCTTAACAGTGAGGGGAAGTGACATAATTTCCTGTATCTCATAGTTGTGGGAGATAATTCCACTCATTTAAAAGCAAAGTATTGTACGGTAACAGAGTTGACGCAAGATTTACAGATGCACATTTTTATAAGAAAAATGTTGTTTTTTAAAAAAAATAATGTTGTAGGATTAGGTAAATTACTCTTTAGGCCTTTTACAAATAAAATGAATGAAATATTACAAAAAGAAAAGTACAATAAAATATTTTGATTACACAATGATACATGATGGAAAAAAATGCACCGACTAATTCGGACAACAACAAATCATGATTTTCAGCTATTTAATACTTTTTGCAAAAAATATTATATTGTTATGGACTGTAACATCTTGTAATTCATAATGAGTAACAGTATTAAAATAATTAAAAATATAACCATTTGAAAAAAGCAGGAAAAACAATAATGACTTCGGACACCAAATGTACCAATGCAATTATAGAATCACTCTTATACGTTAGAGCCACAAGTCATTTCTTTATATAGATGTGGATTTAATAATTGTGAATTGTAGTATAAAATTTGAGTATTTATGAAAACTTTTAAATTTGAACTCCCATAATATCACTTAATGAGAGTGATGTCGTTTCCTGCAATGACTGCTAGTCTTTGAAATGCAAAAGTGGAGCAATACCATTTTTTGACCATGTAACTTTTTTTTTTTCCCCAGTTAATTCATTAATAAACATTCTTAAAAGTTGTTAATGGAATATTGAACACTATTGGTTAAAAATTCATTATTTTCAATGGTGAAAATGTTTTTGCTGCTTAATATTTTGCACTGTGATAAACTATCATTCAAAAGTAGCTTCTTTTTTTTTTATTAACATTCCGAAAACAGGTTTTAATTCCCTGACAAACTGCAGGGCCTGCATCACTGCTCTACACAGAGAAATCAGAAGAGTTCAGACTGGAATACACATCCTTCCTGACGTTCAAAGACAATATTTGGAGAGACACCGCACTATACCATCATTACTTAACAAGTGGCAGGTACAGAAAAAAAAAGGAGAGGAGAGGAAAGGAAAAAAGCTAAGAAAAAGAAAAAACAACCACGATAGATTTCAGTCAAGCCTGAAGGGAAGGGTGGATTACAATCGAGGTCAAACCCAAAGGGAGCGTATGACTGCAAGCTCTACAGAGTTATTAGACTGCTTGACTTAAAGAGAAAGGGTAGCGGGTGAACTGTGACAGATAAACAGAAATACAGTATCAGACAGAATATTGATCATGTGCACTGTGTACACTAAATCACACAAGCTCAAAACACACACACACACACTCATGAAGGAAAAGCTCTGGTTGTATAAAAATATTTGACTGTTTGAGAAATGGACATGCTCAGCAGGCTCCTGGAAACCAGATGAATGACAATGAGACTCCATTTCTTCGGCTCACTCATCCGGACACAATAGCTCGATGGTGAATCCCTCGGACTCATGCCATTTTCTCAAACACATACACCAGGTATATGCCTACAAGAAGAAAGAGAAGGCAGAGTTGTTGGTTGTTGAGGAAGAGACATCATGGTAATCACATAAAATGCATGCACTAAATTAAACTGTGCAAAAATATCATTCATATTTTAAAAAAACAACTTAAGACCAGAAACACTCGATGGAAGTACACAAATGCAAATGCTGATGATCTGTCATTGTCTGCAAATCACACATTATAGACCCTGTGAAGAACTGGATTTAATGTCATCTCATTTCACAAGAACAATTCTGAATATATGAATCTCAAATTTAACAAACGTAATAATTACACTAAACACAAAAATAGAAAACATCCCAAACAAGTTGAAAACGGCAGCATTTAACTAAACATTTCACCATAAATACCTAATGCTTTGCACAAACATGAATTGAATCATTTTTAAATAGTTCATTTATATGAACCGTTCAAAAGATTTCATAAAATAAGATACACTACTGTTCAAAATATTGGGGTCGTTTGGATTTTTTTTTTTTATGCTCACTGAAGCCGCATTTATTTAAATAAGCTGATTTGCCTTTAAAAAAACATGTATTGCTACAATCAATCTTGAAAACATTGTGCTGCTTTATATATTTGCGGAAATAAATGTTAAAAGAAGAGCATTTATTTGAAATATAATTTTTTTGTAATGTCTTTACTGTCACTTTTAATATTTATTGTATGCATCCTTGCTGTATAAAAGCATGAATTTCTTACACACTTTGGAATTGCTGTGTACATAGAAACAGAGATAGGACAGTTTAGGAGTGTCTGTAATGAAATATTATAACATCATAATCCAATTTTGAAATATACCATGGTACTGAATGCAAACCACATTCACATTAAAAGAATGCCTTGATACTACCATGGTACATGTCCTAAAAAAGTAACTACTTGAACTTTTCTGTTTGTGTAGTTGCAAGTTAAGTGTTTCTAATTTAAGAGTTTTTTTTTTGCTCTGATGGCCTGCCAACATGCTGTATTTCAGTAGGAGGAAATATCAAGTAATTTATCTAAAGAAGAAAAGTGATTTCACAGCTAGGGTCTATAATTTCCTGGCTTGGGCGCGGGTAGCGTTTTCAATACAAATGAGCCCTTTTGCACGTTACACTCTATGAATATGTATATCGAACAGCTCCACTGTGACTTTTGATGAAAGTCACTGTATTATCTTACTTACATCTTAAGTTTATTTGTCAGGTGAATTCATAAAAACCTCTCATGGTTGTGGGAGATAATTCCACTCATTTAAAAGCAAAGTATGGTACGGTAACAGAGTTGACGCAAGATTTACAGACGCACATTTTTATAAGAAAAACGTTGTTTTTAAAAAAAAATAATGTTGTAGGATTAGGTAAATTACTCTTTAGGCCTTTTACAAATAAAATGAATGAAATATTACAAAAAGAAAAGTACAATAAAATATTTTGATTACACAATGATACAACATGATGGAAAAAAAATGCACCGACTAATTCGGACAACAACAAATCATGATTTTCAGCTATTTAATACTTTTTGCAAAAAATATTATATTGTTATGGACTGTAACATCTTGTAATTCATAATGAGTAACAGTATTAAAATAATTAAAAATATAACCATTTGAAAAAAGCAGGAAAAACAATAATGACTTCGGACACCAAATGTACCAATGCAATTATAGAATCACTCTTATACGTTAGAGCCACAAGTCATTTCTTTATATAGATGTGGATTTAATAATTGTGAATTGTAGTATAAAATTTGAGTATTTATGAAAACTTTTAAATTTGAACTCCCATAATATCACTTAATGAGAGTGATGTCGTCTCCTGCAATGACTGCTAGTCTTTGAAATGCAAAAGTGGAGCGATACCATTTTTTGACCATGTAACTTTTTTTTTTTCCAGTTAATTCATTAATAAACAATCTTAAAAGTTGTTAATGGAATATTGAACACTATTGGTTAAAAATGCATTATTTTCAATGGTGAAAATGTTTTTGCTGCTTAATATTTTGCACTGTGATAAACTATCATTCAAAAGTAGCTTTTTTTTTTTTTATTAACTCAGGTTTAATATTCCGAAAACAGGTTTTAATTCCCTGACAAACTGCAGGGCCTGCATCACTGCTCTACACAGAGAAATCAGAAGAGTTCAGACTGGAATACACATCCTTCCTGACGTTCAAAGACAATATTTGGAGAGACACCGCACTATACCATCATTACTTAACAAGTGGCAGGTACAGAAAAAAAAAGGAGAGGAGAGGAAAGGAAAAAAGCTAAGAAAAAGAAAAAACAACCACGATAGATTTCAGTCAAGCCTGAAGGGAAGGGTGGATTACAATCGAGGTCAAACCCAAAGGGAGCGTATGACTGCAAGCTCTACAGAGTTATTAGACTGCTTGACTTAAAGAGAAAGGGTAGCGGGTGAACTGTGACAGATAAACAGAAATACAGTATCAGACAGAATATTGATCATGTGCACTGTGTACACTAAATCACACAAGCTCAAAACACACACACACACACTCATGAAGGAAAAGCTCTGGTTGTATAAAAATATTTGACTGTTTGAGAAATGGACATGCTCAGCAGGCTCCTGGAAACCAGATGAATGACAATGAGACTCCATTTCTTCGGCTCACTCATCCGGACACAATAGCTCGATGGTGAATCCCTCGGACTCATGCCATTTTCTCAAACACATACACCAGGTATATGCCTACAAGAAGAAAGAGAAGGCAGAGTTGTTGGTTGTTGAGGAAGAGACATCATGGTAATCACATAAAATGCATGCACTAAATTAAACTGTGCAAAAATATCATTCATATTTTAAAAAAACAACTTAAGACCAGAAACACTCGATGGAAGTACACAAATGCAAATGCTGATGATCTGTCATTGTCTGCAAATCACACATTATAGACCCTGTGAAGAACTGGATTTAATGTCATCTCATTTCACAAGAACAATTCTGAATATATGAATCTCAAATTTAACAAACGTAATAATTACACTAAACACAAAAATAGAAAACATCCCAAACAAGTTGAAAACGGCAGCATTTAACTAAACATTTCACCATAAATACCTAATGCTTTGCACAAACATGAATTGAATCATTTTTAAATAGTTCATTTATATGAACCGTTCAAAAGATTTCATAAAATAAGATACACTACTGTTCAAAATATTGGGGTCGTTTGGATTTTTTTTTTTATGCTCACTGAAGCCGCATTTATTTAAATAAGCTGATTTGCCTTTAAAAAAACATGTATTGCTACAATCAATCTTGAAAACATTGTGCTGCTTTATATATTTGCGGAAATAAATGTTAAAAGAAGAGCATTTATTTGAAATATAATTTTTTTGTAATGTCTTTACTGTCACTTTTAATATTTATTGTATGCATCCTTGCTGTATAAAAGCATGAATTTCTTACACACTTTGGAATTGCTGTGTACATAGAAACAGAGATAGGACAGTTTAGGAGTGTCTGTAATGAAATATTATAACATCATAATCCAATTTTGAAATATACCATGGTACTGAATGCAAACCACATTCACATTAAAAGAATGCCTTGATACTACCATGGTACATGTCCTAAAAAAGTAACTACTTGAACTTTTCTGTTTGTGTAGTTGCAAGTTAAGTGTTTCTAATTTAAGAGTTTTTTTTTTGCTCTGATGGCCTGCCAACATGCTGTATTTCAGTAGGAGGAAATATCAAGTAATTTATCTAAAGAAGAAAAGTGATTTCACAGCTAGGGTCTATAATTTCCTGGCTTGGGCGCGGGTAGCGTTTTCAATACAAATGAGCCCTTTTGCACGTTACACTCTATGAATATGTATATCGAACAGCTCCACTGTGACTTTTGATGAAAGTCACTGTATTATCTTACTTACATCTTAAGTTTATTTGTCAGGTGAATTCATAAAAACCTTTGAGACAACATCTAACGTGTTTCACGAAGTTAAAACTTCTATTTCAAAAGACGCCACTGAACCCTGATTTCAACAGGAAGACCATCACGTACTTGTAGCCTCCCACTCAGACTTGCTCAAGGTCCCCTGTGGAGAAAGAGCAAACTATCAGACCACAGTTAACACAAAGGGGAAAAAAAGCTTTCTGTTGAAGAGAATGATATTGTGGCTCACCAGTGGACGTCTGGCAGCGACTCTCTTGGCGTGGTCGTACTCCCCCAGACTGTCGGACGCCAGTTGGCCCCCCTCACCTGGAGGGTATTGCTATGACAACAAGATGACACAAAACTATTGATTCTGTCAAAGTAAAGATAAGGCGGTATGGTTCAACAGGCATCATTATCTACAGATAACAGATATAAAGCTAGACAAAACTCGCCACTAGGCAGTTGCTAGGGTGTTCAGGGGGGGTTGCAAGAGCCAACTTTCAAGTCTGTATGATGTTCTGAGGCTAACATAGTGCTTGTTCATGTTGCTATATGGTCGCTAGGGTGCACTAAATAGTTGCTAGGGTGTCTGCACACAGTTTCCATAGTGATACTTTTTTAGACTAGTTGCCTGCTCGTATCAAAAGTGCCAACCACCATGTCTCTATGATGTTGTGAATTATTCACACTGCTGTATGGTTGCTAGGGTGCCCTAAATGGTTGCTAGGGTGTGGCTCGACAATTTAAAGAGTGATATATAAAACTGCTTGCCTATCAATTCAAAAGAGCCCACCATCATTTCCCTACAATGTTCTGGTGCTGAGATATGCCAGTCAATTGTACTATATAGTTGCTAGGGTGCTGTAAATGGTTGCTAGGGTGTGGCTAGGAAGTTGCTGGGTCACTACTTATTATCTATGGACTATGGTGCACTATTAAGAAGTGCTAACCTGCAAATGCTATCTTATCAAATGCAATATTTATCAATGTAACCCAATGTATACGTTAAGTTCAAATTTTTTATTTAAATCTAATAAATTGTTAACATGAGAAATTGTACATATTCAATTAAGAAAAACACTTAAAAGGACTTCAAGGCTTTAAAACACTTTCATCATCTTCATCATCTCTCATATCCAAAGGCTGCAACATACCAGTTTCTGTTCCGTGCCGAGTTATACAATCGAATCCTTTCTTGATAACATACACGCTAGGGCTGCACGATTAATCGAATGCGATTGTCATGCGCATTTTGATAGTAATGCCGGTTCTGTAATCAGCAGGAAATCATCACGTGCTTTCAGATGGAGCAGAATGTACTACACATAGTTCAGACTACTACACATAGTTCACTGACAAGTTATGCAAAAAAATAAAAATAAATAAATCGCAGACGATTTTATTGCGCGATTATGAAATCGAAGAAATCGTTGGCGATAATGACAGCTGTTTGCATAGCTTCTCAGTGAACTACGGCTCTGTAAATACTGCTCCATCTGAAAGCATGTGAAAATACCACATTAAATAACATATTTGTACTCCAAACTCACTTCATAACGTCAGTCGAGTGTTTGAAATAAATCCTTCTGTGAGATGATGTGGCTTCTTACACAGAATAAGGCACGCAACATATTTCATAGTATTTAAGCAGTGATAAAGGCATTGCATTATAAATATACTTTATTTTAATGAAAATTATAATAATAAGAACTCAGATAAACCGTATATTGCCATAGTCGTGTGTTTATTAGTCACGTTGAATCAATGAAAGCAGCTGAATCTTCTGTTTATTCAGCTGCAGCGATTTGGCGTTTCAGCGCGAGGGCGCCCTCTGGCCTTCGGACGGAGATTTACTGTTGATCACAGAACCGTGCTTCACTGAAAGATACGCATGACAATCACAGCTTCTGTCAAATCGCGATCTCGATTCCATTTCGATTTATCGTGCAGCCCTAAAACACGCTGCTAATAATTTGTTAATTGTGCAGTGTTAAACTAATTTCCCTATTTTAAAAAAAAAAACACACAAAGCCTTACAAAGTAACAAAATATAAAATAAAATAAAAAAAACAGCAGATATTTTTTTTATGCCAAATATATTTAGGCCAAAGTGGGCGAAGATAAATCTCTGTCATTATATTATCTTTGTTATCAAAAAAAAATAAAAACAAAGATATACATTACACATTCACATGATATGCAAATAAAACAAGCAGTGCTTTATTTTTCAGGTACAGTAGGTGTATTTAGCAGTAGCATTCAATAAACTGAATCAACATATGTGACCCTGGAGCACAAAAGCAGTCTTAAGTCGCTGGGGTATATTTGTAGCAATAGCCAAAAAAACACCGTATGGGTCACAATTATCGATTTTTCTTTTATGCCAAAAATCATTAGTATATTAAGTAAAGATCATGTTCCATGAAGATATTTTGTAAATGTCCTAGTGTAAATATATCAAAATTAAATTTTTGATTAGTAATACGCATTGCTAAGGACTTCATTTGGACAATTTAAAGGTGATTTTCTCAATATTTAGATTTTTTTTGCACCCTCAGATTACAGATTTTCAAATAGTTGTATCTCGACCAAATATTGTTCTATCCTAACAAACCTTACATCAATGGAAAGCTTATTTATTCAGCTTTCAGATGTATAAATCTCAATTTCAAAAAATGTACACTTATGACTGGTTTTGTGGTCCAGGGTCACATATATAAAAAAATAAACACTATATACACTTCAGCGCATAAATTATGCATTGATTCCTATTAAAGCAACTGTATTAAAAAGTTCTCCAGTCAAGAACAGTGAGTGATTTTTCTCTGTGTTTTGTTGTTTTATTAACAGTTCAGCCAAAAATGAAAATTCTGTCATCATTTATTCACTCTCGTGTCATTTTAAAACTGAATGAGTTTCTTTCTTCTGTTGAACACAAAAGTTATTTTGAAGAGTGTAGGTAACCAAACACTTTCTGGTCTCCAGTGACTTCCATAGTATTTTTTCCCCCCAACTATCAATTAATTAATGGGGACCAGCAACTGTTTGGTTACCCATATTCTTCAAAGTATCTTCTTTTGTGTTCAGCACAAGAAAGAAAATAATACAGGTTTGGGACAACACGAGAGTGAGTTAATAATGACAATTTTCATTTTTGTGTGAACTATCCCTTTAATGACAAGCGGCAGCATGTTTAGTGCTATTAGTCTACTGTCACTTTAAGACACATCATCTGTTTTTCTCTCAACTCTTTACTTTCACTTTAGACATAACCAACTGTTTTTATATGTAAACCTTGTGTGTTTTTGACAGTATTAGCGCGATCAGACACGAAAGATAACTTAGTCCAATTGTCAGGCGCTGTTTGACAGGCTTTTTAGTGTGTGCGCTTCAGGTGTACGCGCTCAGAAAAAGCGCATGTCAGAACAAATAATGTTCTTTTGTGATTGTGAAGAAGTGCAGTGTCCCGTGAGTGTAACTCTACCGCCGAGTTAACATTTGATGTGAATGTTTGTCGCATTGTACAGTACATTGAGATGGAGGCACCAGAACTTCAAATGATAGAATGTGCGCTGTAGCACGATAATACGATATTTCTTCAAAAGCAGATCGTGGAGACATTTTAATCATCCATGATCAAAAATGGTGTTATCGCACACTCCTAATTAAACCGTGAATAATTCATAAAGAATTAATAGGACATAACCAAGAGATTAATTGACTATGAGAGGCGAGTGTCAGTCCTACCCACATTAAGAGCAGAGCTACAAACCTCCAGCGCCTGCATCCACTGCATCAGAACCTTATTCTTCTCATCTTTAACTTTCTCCTCAAAGAACTCTTTGAAGGTTTTCTTGTAAACCAGACGCATGTTGTACTTTTTCGCCATTCTGAACAAAAAAAAAGAATGAAGTTATTAAAAATAATAAATGCATAATAATACAATTAGAAATAATTTTAAATTAATTATTATCATTCATGATATTTGATCCACAACACAGGAAGTATCAGTACCAGTGCTTTCTTGCCAAAGCGAAGAGCTTGTTTGTTTGAATCTGTAACCTTATAATTCCACTTAAAACACTGCAAGTGTTAAGGATTTTCTTAAAGCAGAAATAAACATTATGAAATCAAGGATGTGTCCAACACTACAGCACATATTTATGCAGCTGTAGCTCCCTCTGCTGACACACCAGGAAAGTACCAGTCGTGATGACTCCATGTGTTTGAGAGGAAGATGAGAGACACTTACTCCTCAAACAGCGGGAAATACACCAGAAACTCTGGGACGTTGACGACACCCTCCAGACTGAAGTCATACTGACAGCCAAACAGAGGGTAGTCTGCTTTCTTCTGGAAGGTCACCCTGAACACTTCATTTCCAAAGCTGTTGGAGTCCGACACCTCCAAACGGTTCCTGTGGATCGAGAGATCATAATATTAAAGCACATACTGAATGTGTAACAGCTGTTAACAATTTTTGGTTAACATAAATAAAATCCCTGTTTTGAGGCTTTAGAACAAAATGAGAATTTATTTGGTCTGGTTGACACGATTACATTCTTTCGTTGCCATTGTGAATGCTATTATAAATACTACCAACCATTTCTGTGCTTTTAATTTGAAAGAGATATTTTAAAAACATCTCAGATTTAAAATCCAGTGGCAAAAGTGCAGATTGTATTGGGATGCTCGATTCATTTCTATGAATAAGTTTAAACTATCCATTTCCATTAATCAGTTCAAAACACAAACTGAATGATTTCTTTGCATCATAAACTAATAATACGTTTCACTTTTATTAATAGAAGTATTTTCAATATCTAATGTACATGCAGGACTGTTCATAAGTTTGAGGTTAGTATGCTTTTTTGGTAACACTTTAGATTAGGGAACATATTCACTAAGGGTTTTTCGTTTTTACGTTTAGGTGTGGGTCGGGTTAAGGGATCTAAAATATGGTCATGCAGACCATAAGACATTAATATGTGCTTTATAAGTACTAATAAACAGCCAATATGCTAGTAATATGCATGCTAATGAGCAACTAATTAATAGTGAATAATGTTCTTTAAACTAAAGTGTTTTTTTAAGAAATTAATTATTTTATTCCGCAAGGAAAAATTAAACTGATCAAAAAAGTCAGTCAGACATTTATAATGTTGCAAAAGATTTTTTATTTCAAATAAATGCCGTTCTTTTGAACTTTCTATTCATCAAATAATCCTGAAAAATATGTATTATGATTTCAATTAACTTTATTATAAGAAATATTAAGTAAATATGTATAATCCCTTATTTTATTTTTATTTATAGTTTATATACTTGCATACATTAGTAATTCATTTTGCACTACATGCTTAATACTTTTTATATATTATTATTACTATTTTTTTTTTATTTGATCACAGCAATAAATTACATTTTACAATAGAAAATAATACATAAAATACATTTTTACATAGAAAACTGTTATATTAAATTGTAATAATATTTCACAACATTACCGTTTTTATTATATTTTTTTGTTCGAATAAATGCAGCCTTGGTGAATGTCTCATAAATATTTAAAAATTCTACTCACCCCAAACTTTTGAATGGTAGTGTGAATATTAAGATATTTAATATATCACATCAAAATTAGTCCAGCCTTACAGCACATTTAAACAGTAACAGATATTAATATCATAGAGTGTGTGTGTGAGAGAGTATGTGAGAGAGAGAGGGAAGGAGAGAGAGAGGGAGAGAGGGAGAGAGGGAGAGTGTGTGAGTGAGTGAGTGAGAGAGAGATATTATACATATATTATACATATATATTATTATACATATAAATATATATAAATATATACATATTATACATATAAATATTAGACATATTTAAGTAAATATGTCTAATCCCTTATTTTATTTTTATTTATAGTTTATATACTTGCATACATTAGTAATTCATTTTGCACTACATGCTTAATACTTTTTATATATTATTATTACTATTTTTTTTTTCTTTGTTAATACATACGTGTACTATTTGTAAGCAGTCCAGCTGCAATTGCTTTGCCAATACAAATGTATAATTTTTGTCATGCCAATAAAGCACTCTTAAATTGAAACTGAAATTGAGAGAGAGAGAGATCTTACACCAGCTCATAAGCATCTGGAGTGGTTCCGATGAAGAATCCTCCGGGCCGGAGTCTCTCACAGGCGTTTCTCAGCATGGTGTCAGCCTGCTGCTCGCTCTCAAAGGAATAATGACACACAAACTGACAGCTGCACACGTCAAACCGCAGCTCAGGGTCTCGCAGCTTATCAGACAGCAGCTCCTGAGACAGACAGACAGAGAGGATGTGACCCTGTACTGCCACGCACTGACTTTGATCTTTCTTCCTTTTTGCAGTGAAATCAATGAGTCTCTCTAACAAATGAAGCAGCTGGTGAAGTGTAATCTGTGCAGTGCTGATAAAACACCAGCTCATACCTTGCTGCAGTCTGCGGTGATGAAGTCGGCTGAGAACGTGCGGTCGTTTGGGTGACCCCTACGTCTCATGTCATTATAGCGCTGCTGACACTGCTCGATGGACACAGCAGCGATATCTGTGACGTACAAACACAAACACAAATGCAGATGTGACTCATTTACAATATGAAGACATTTAAAGAAGTGCAGAAATATAAGCACTGTGTCAACGCTAATTTGCCTTGATTAGTGGTCGGCCAATATTTAGATTTTTTTAATTACCGGCATGTATTTAGACAGTATACCAGTTTATTAAGAAACTGTAAAACAAGAAAACTATGTTTTTTAAAAGTAGTATAGCATTTGCCTTTGTATCTTGATTTCAAACTATGCTGCACTACATCAAGTTGGCCACTATGTTGTATTCATTGTGTACTTCATGAAACTTTAGAAAATATAATTCCCAGTGAGCCCAGACTTACAGATTATTGAGTGCACTGTTTGTTACACTGTTTACTTCCTTTTTATTTGTTTTTTAAGATACTATAATAGAATTACAGAATCAAAAGCCCTAAAACAAATCACAACAATTTGTTTACAGATTTCAAGTTTGACATTTTTTTTAAATTAATTTTCAAATTCAAGTTCCAGTTCAGTTCATTTATAGAGCACATCTAAAAACGACTGCAAACCGACCAAAGTGCAGTACAAAAAAAAGATAAAATAAAAAAAAAAGTTGAGAACACTAATAGTAGCAATGCAGTAAAACCGAAACAATCTTATAAACTAAAAGCAACATAGAATAAATAAGATTAGAAACATGACTTGAACTCAGACAAAGTGGAAGATATCTAATATAGAGTGGGAGCTTGTTCCACAATGTGGGTTTGGCCACTTCAAAGGCTCGGTTACCCCTCGATTTTAGTCGGGTTCTAGGTATCTGCAGGAGTTTACCTTCGGATCTAAGAAAGAAGGAGCTAAGTCATTTAATGATTTATACACCAGTAATCAAATTTTAAACTCAATTCTAAAATTAATCGGAAGCCAGTGAAGAGATCTCTGAAGGGGGGTGAGCGTGATCAAATTTCCTCCTTCCCTTCAGGAATCTTGCCGCAGCATTTTGAACGACCCATAAGCGTGCTGTTTGGGACTTAGATATACCAAAATAGAGTGAATTGCAATAATCCAGGCGAGAGGTAATGAAAGCATAGATCGCAATCTCCAAGGAACGCTTAGGAAGAAAGGATTTGATTTTCGATAGAGAACGAAGATAGAAAAAGCTGGACCCAACAACCGCGCTAATCTGCTTGTCGAATTTGAGGCAACTATCTACCATCACACCTAGATTTCGTACTTGGGGAGAAATTAATTGATTTAAAGATTCAATGTCAAGGTGATTTCTTGGCCTGGATTCTGAAGGGTCAAAAACAATGTCTTCTGTTTTGTCTGAGTCAAGCCAAGCGTTCACATCCTCAAGACATGCTGTTAGATTACCTAGAGCACTCTTATTTTTCCTAGACACAGGCATATAGATTTGCATATAATCAGCATAACAGTGAAATGAGACATTATGTTTCCCTGAAGATGGAACCCAGAGGGAGAACATAGAGAGGAAAAAGGACAGGAGCTAAGACAGAGCCTTGAGGCACACCACAGGATGTAACTTCAAACATCATAAACCCGTCTTTTTAGGCAAGTACCAGACATGGAAATCAGAAGTCAGAAAGAGCTTTATTGCCAAGTAAACACACAAGGAATTTGTCTTGGTGACATGAGCTTCCAGTGCAGAAGAAAGTTCACATATAGTGCAAACGTACATAGGAATTATACAGTAGAGATGAAATATAACACTAATATAAGTGTAGCGTCTGGACCAATCAGACACACAATTTTAGCAGTTATATTTAACAAATACTCTGTAACACCTCAGTCAACAAACCAACTATTAAGGTCTATGGACCCTTCCCCCGGAATGCATCTAACACCTCAGAAAGGCAGAACAGGCCTCTGGTTCCATGGCAACCAATGCTGATATCACTGGTTTTATTCGAGGGGAAGAAGAAAAAAGTCCTATTTTTTCAGAGAAACATCTATTGATGACTAAATTCAAACTGTCCGTTTCAATGAATCAAAAGAAATTGAACGATTTGTTTGTATTATATGCAGAAAATGACGTCCTAGAACAGCGGTACTCAAACTTTTTAACTTGAAGGCTCGCCCCTGTCAAACACAGGCTAATTTGCATCATGCAGGGGTTCCATGAGCCACACTCGCGAAGTGACATTTGCAACAACGTCGCCGGAAATTTGCTCTAGTAGTCGCCAGATGGCCACAGGGGGTTCACCCTCCTCTCAAAAAATCTATATTGGGTGAAGGCTAGTCTCACCCTGCAAAGAGAAAAGGACAGCCTACTCAACTGACACGCAATCATTGCGCTAATACAAGGGCTTTAAACTATGTTAGTTATTTGTATATGCTTTTTCAAATGGTAAAGAACAAAAAACCTATGGTTTTCACAGAGAGATCTTAAAAGTTTTCCAGAATACAGTAAAGAGAACCCTAACATTTACAGATGAAGACAATAGCAAAGTATGAAGACAACCGTGTAGTTACCTGCACACACCAGTTTATCAATATGTCCTTTCTTCCATTTGAGAAGGTCTCCTCCTTTTCCACAGCCGAGATCCAACACGGTCACCTCTCTCCGTCTTCGCCTCACCTTGTCCAAGATGTCCGCTGAGGAGACCAACACACAGAGATCCTGCTTGCCATTCCACTCAACTGAGTTTATTACCATCTAACCCAACCACAAACAAGCATGCCACTGTATGGCAGGCACACGCAGGTGAACGCAAGCCTGTGCTGCTTCTCACCTATAAGCACACTCTTTAACCAGTTGTTGAAGTTGCGCATGTGGACTATCCTGCTTTTATTGCGCTCTGCCAGGCCATGCTCCTGAAGCTTGTTGTAATGTGTGGCCACTTTCTGACTGTGTAACGATTCCTCAGTCACCTGCAAGACAAAAAAAAATATGTTTTTAAAAAAGTAAACTCAAACTGAGCAGGGGAGATCAGGGCTAGACGACACACTGCAATGTTAAAAATTCTTGTTTTCTTTTGAATATAAGTTTTCCCAACTATGACGATTTCTGCTTCTGAGAACCCCAGAAACATGAAGAGAGTTACTGAGCATTTTATAGATTTTATACATTTCAAATGCATACATGTTCTCAGAATGAGAGTCCAAACAGTTCATAGAAACAATAATCCACAAGTAATCCACACTAGAGCCCTGCGCAGGACTGTTTCAGCTCCCGCTGAATTTCTGACTATCCGCTATCAACATGCGGGGTATTAAAATCTCTTTTGAATGAGCGCTCGCTGTTCACTTTTCTGATTTAGCGTTCACACGTACTCCGTGTAAAGGGAGCACGTTTTACAAGATCAGATATTTGTCAATGAGCTCAGGATCCGTCTCTCCTTACTCTCGACCCGTGACCAGTCAAATCTGACTCCTGCAGCTTGTGTTGGATGCAGGGGTTGTCAAGTCAGCGATTTTCCACGGAATTGAGCTACTTTTAAACTGTTGCCGTGGGTTGATTTTCCACACTTCCCGCACTTTATTTTCTTATAAACTTTTTTCTTTTTTATAAACCGTGGGCGGCCCACTCCTGCCCGAAGTAAAAGTAACACATTGGGATCTCCCGCGAGATCCCAATCCCAATGCAGTCAGCTCTCTATTCCACACCACTCTAGTCCATCAGTTAACATCTTGTGAAGTGAAAAGCTGTGTGGTTGTAAGAAACAAATCCATCATGATGACATTTTAACTTCAAATTGTTGCCTCTGGTCAAAATATCCATCATCCATAAAAACACTTCCTCCATTGGAAAATTCCATCTCCTGTTGTCCTCTCACACCAAAATCTACCCACATTTTTGTTTAGATCTGTTTTTATTTACTTGTAAACGGTGCTTGGTATGTGCATATTTCTCTCCTGATTCAAACAACTTTTTCACTGGAGGAAGCAATAGTATGGATAGGCGGAGGATTAACCAACTCCAGGGTAAGGCTAAAAGCAGACTAATGTTAGTGTAATCTATTAACTTCAAACATCATAAACCCGTCTTTTTAGGCAAGTACCAGACATGGAAATCAGACACACAAGGAATTTGTCTTGGTGACATGAGCTTCCAGTGCAGAAGAAAGTTCACATATAGTGCAAACGTACATAGGAATTATACAGTAGAGATGAAATATAACACTAATATAAGTGTAGCATCTGGACCAATCAGACACACAATTTTAGCAGTTATATTTAACAAATACTCTGTAACACCTCAGTCAACAAACCAACTATTAAGGTCTATGGACCCTTCCCCCGGAATGCATCTAACACCTCAGAAAGGCAGAACAGGCCTCTGGTTCCATGGCAACCAATGCTGATATCACTGGTTTTATTGTCCAAAGGAATGCGGGCAGAGAAACTCACAATTAATTTACCCTTAGGAAAGACACACAATGCCCATAAAAATGGACTCACCTCCAATTAATTCATAGAAAAACCTTTCTGTGAATGAACACACATCTCCTCAGGACATTGTGTATACTATTACTGTTCTTGTTAATTGTCTTTTGAATTGTATACTGTTTTGTGTGTATGTTATGATAGATCACTAGTTAATATAACCCCACCGATACCATGTTTGGTCTCTTTGAATTTGTCTTCTGATGATCTAAATGTTAGTATGATAGTACATAGGCAATATATTAGTGTTCTAAGAATCTTTAGTAATTTTGCATCAACACCCAATCGAATTCCATATGCAAATTACCATGCTCTCACACAAAGGGTCATAATACTCCCCAGTATTTCCAACCTCCCACTTGGAGTTTTAGCCTTTCTCATTGGACAAGCCCATCCTGAGAGGCGTGAATCTTCTCAGACCTTAAAAGTCTCACGCACCCATGTTTTTCTTCAGCTAAAACCTTCTGATTGCGGCCTGTGTGGAGAGTCTGAGCCGGTGCGGGCGTGCTCGGTGGGCTCCAACACACAGTCAGTCAGTCGGCGGTTCTGTTAGATTCTGAGAAGATGAGGATGTGAGCTATGATGACATTTTAACTTCAAATTGTTGCCTCTGGTCAAAATATCCATCATCCATAAAAACACTTCCTCCATTGGAAAATTCCATCTCCTGTTGTCCTCTCACACCAAAATCTACCCACATTTTTGTTTAGATCTGTTTTTATTTACTTGTAAACGGTGCTTGGTATGTGCATATTTCTCTCCTGATTCAAACAACTTTTTCACTGGAGGAAGCAATAGTATGGATAGGCGGAGGATTAACCAACTCCAGGGTAAGGCTAAAAGCAGACTAATGTTAGTGTAATCTATTAACTTCAAACATCATAAACCCGTCTTTTTAGGCAAGTACCAGACATGGAAATCAGACACACAAGGAATTTGTCTTGGTGACATGAGCTTCCAGTGCAGAAGAAAGTTCACATATAGTGCAAACGTACATAGGAATTATACAGTAGAGATGAAATATAACACTAATATAAGTGTAGCATCTGGACCAATCAGACACACAATTTTAGCAGTTATATTTAACAAATACTCTGTAACACCTCAGTCAACAAACCAACTATGAAGGCCTATGGACCCTTCCCCCGGAATGCATCTAACACCTCAGAAAGGCAGAACAGGCCTCTGGTTCCATGGCAACCAATGCTGATATCACTGGTTTTATTGTCCAAAGGAATGCGGGCAGAGAAACTCACAATTAATTTACCCTTAGGAAAGACACACAATGCCCATAAAAATGGACTCACCTCCAATTAATTCATAGAAAAACCTTTCTGTGAATGAACACACATCTCCTCAGGACATTGTGTATACTATTACTGTTCTTGTTAATTGTCTTTTGAATTGTATACTGTTTTGTGCTTAGCTATTTTTCACTTTCCACTGGGAAGAAACTCATAATCACCATTGAGTCAGAACATCTTTGGAGTTCAGCACTCTTCAAACCCGGAAGAAGGTGATCGCGACTCCTACACCACCGAACCATCAAGACTTTCATCCGAGACTGCATCCGTACGCTCGTTCCAGGCCAAGGCAATGCAAGTATCATACATTTAACTAAATGAAACAGAGGTTTAGTATAAGCTGTAGACCCCGTTTTAAAACGGCGCTGATGGTTTCACTCAGGTGGTTAACTGACTCGTTTCATAGCTTCATTCTCTGGTTCTTCCTGATGGCTTCATCCATCAAGCCTCATTTGCCCTTTCCCATGTATGAGTGATTGTTTGTTTGTTAGACTAGTTTGTGTTAGTGTTTAGTTAATAAAACTCTTGTACACAAATTACATGAGTTTCTGATTCTGCCTTGCAAATTGAGAGAAACCTCAAGAGTTCAAAATTCAGTCAGCGAGCACACGCTCAACAACAAAACTCGGTTTCAGGGAGGACTCGTCTGAACGCCTCTGATTGCATGTGTGATTGGCAGGGTTGGGGAGTAACGTAATACATGTAATGGTGTTACGTAATCAGGATACAAAAAACTGGTAACTGTAATTTGTTACAGTTACGTCAAAAAACAAAGTAATCAGATTACAGCAAAATTTTGTAAAAACAAAATGGGAATAATGTCAGGATTACAATGGTTTTATTTAAGGATTTAAGTAAGGATTAATTGATGACGGGCCGTTTAATTATTAGAAAATAATGATTGAGGTGGTGATGCGGCCACGACACAAAGCGTCAGACTAACGCAGTTACAAATGCAGTGAGAGAGATTAAGCTTGTGCAAATGACCTCTGTGAGTCTGTGCATCTCTCAGCAGTGTTCGGCAGCAGCGTCTCTGCTAATAGTGGAACTCTAAGTTTAGCTGCTTAAAGAACAGCGCCGCTATTACTTCGCTAGTGAGAAATGCCATGTAGCTTTTTAAGTTGCTAAACTATTTTACTGATAAAATCGTCAGAGCAGCGCTGACAACACGTTTCTGTACAGGCAGGGACGTTTCTAGCCAATTTGATGCCCTAGGCGAAATCCCTATTGCCCCCCCCCACCCCACAAATTATATAATTCTTTTCAGACACTAGTTGCTTGTCACATTCAAATTGGTTGTCATAGTAACGACAATAATTTGTGGAGATTCAGTGCATTGAGTTCCACAAATCTGAATGCATTATTTGTAAATTGACTGTTAAGATAAACATTTTGCACAATTTAGTATCTGTAATACCTCTTGACGCTCTGCCCTCTGTGACGCTGTTGGAAGTGAATGAATTGATTCAGCATTTCGACACCTCCGTAAGCATGCATTTAACTCGACAAAGCGGTCTAATAAAGGATGTATTGATCTCGTGAATTAGCTAATTTTACTATACAAATATTTTTTAATTGGATGTTAAAGTTTATATGGGAATATTACATGACACGCTGATCCTTTAACAATGCATTGGCGCAAAAAACACACACCTTTTGGACAAATCTGCCACAAATATTTGGACAAATGTGCCACAAAAGTGCCACAAATACTGCCTAAACAAAATACTGATTTTGTGCACTTTATTTACTGTACCAATATTTTAAATTGGCCTTTGAACTTAGCTTTATTGCATGGCAAAAAGAAGTGTTACCTTGCCAAAGCACTGACCTAATGGCGTTGTGTAGCACTCCAAATGCAAACTTTGCATGCAACAATCAGGCAGCAACTGACAGCACTCTGATGTAGTGGCATACAGGCATCGTCAGATTGGCAGTACTCTAGCCCAATAATGTTGGGGGATCCAGTGGGGGCGGCAGTCATATTTCAGGGAGACCATGCCACTCTTTATCACAACCCAGCTAAAAGTGCCAGTACGTGCGCTCATTGGCGCCCCTTCAGCTGGTGGCGCCCTGGGCGACAGCCTAGCTCGCCTATGCCTAGAAACGGCCCTGTGTACGGGTGTGCGTCTGTATGGGAGCGAGAGCGGGAGAAAGAGAGTATGTGCTTGCTATACATAATACATCATTTTGAAAAACATCTAAATAATTTTTAATTTTTATCCTATCATTTAAAATACTTTTTTTTTTGGTCATTGTCGTTATGGGTTTTGGTTATTTTCATGTAAGGACCTTTAAAACAACTGAAATCATAGAAACTTTTATAACATTTTTCATAAATCATAGAAAATCAATTTTGCACAATTTTGCTCAAACCTATGAGTTTTAACTGAATGAACAGTCTGAATGCACATTTGCTGCCAACAGACTAACTGCAATACTTCACAGGATTAAACTTTTGCATTTGAATCCTACAGTATTTTAGCATTGTTTAATGTTAACATAAATATTCTTATTATATTTGCTTGAGGGAAAAATGCTAATTTGTATTCTGTATTTTTTTCTGTTGCGTTCTGGTTTGATTTGAGCAGAGCATTTAGTTACAGCATAGTTACCCAACTACATGGCACTTTCTTAAATATTTTATATTGTGCATCACACATTTATTTTGGATATGATGCAAAATAAGTAATTTTGACTATTTTGCATTTACATGTGTGACCTTGAAGTAGTGCTGGGCGGTATACCGGTTCATACCGAATAACGTGTTTATTTTTGTTATGATATGAATTTTCCCGGAGAAGTGTCAGCTCTCTCGGCGTCTGTTCTGTGCAGTGAGCGGCAGAGAAGCAGTGCATTCAGTTGGCCGCACCGAGCCGACTCGTCAATAAATGAGTACAAAACAGCGTTTCCTAGCACCTGTCGCTTACTGATTGTTTGGAATTATAAATATGAGCGTAGTTCGTCTGTTAATATCACATGCACTTTTGTGTTTGTTGTTTTTTTTAGTTTGTTACTCAGACGCAGGCAGTGCGCTGCATGAGACAAAAAAGTAATCTAGCCAAAAGTGTAGATGCATGTTGATTTTATCAGACGATGCCGTGATTATAAATGAGAGTGACTCCTGGTTAACATGTATTAAAAGGGGTCGTGTTTAGTCACTATTTAGTGTGGTATTTTTTGACAATATTCACTCATCATGACAGTTAAATAGGGCATTCTAAGTCAATATACTGCAGTATTTCCTCTCAATCAGTAGAAAATATGATTAACACCCGGTCATGCATGAAAAAAATACCGTCATGTACCATGAAACCGGTATAATTTTGAAAGATACCGTGATATAAATTTTTGGTCATACCGCCCAGCACTACTTTGAAGGAATCCAAAAGTAATCGGATTACATTACTTTCAAAGTGTGGTGCTTGGATTAAGTTTCTGAATACTTTTTTCATTAAGTAATTTGTGACTGTAATGGAATACATTTTTAAAGTGACCCACCCAAGCATGGTGATTGGTTAAAAACGAGTAAAAAGAAATATGGTGCAACATTAGCAGATCTTAACTTAATGCCTCAATCGACACTTTTCATTCATTTTCACTTTGTTTGCAACAGACGTAATAGGTTTCATTTAATTGTGCAGGGGCTAAGACACACGCTCCGCCTATGATAGTATGGATAGAGGATTTTAGCTAGAGACAACAATTTTAAGTTAAAATCGTCTTAATGATGGATTTGTTTATGCACAACTTTTCACTTCACAAGACATTAACTGATGGAGTGGTGTGGATTATTGTGGTGTTTTTATCAGCTGTTTGGACTCTCATTCTGACGGCACCCATTCACTGCAGAGGATCCATTGGTGAGACACTGATGTTATGCTACATTTCTCCAAATCTGTCCAGATGAAGAAACAAACTCATCTACATCTAGGATGGCCTGAGGGTGAGCTCATTTTCATTTTGGGTGAACTATTCCTTTAAGAGCCATAACTCAGTTTTAATAAACAGTAAATATCCTGAGAATAAATCCCTGGAGTAAACAACTAGCCCCAGTCTCTGTGTTTACATAAAACTATAAACTTTCTTACAGCCAATGTGCATTACATGTCAGCCATGAGTGCGAGCTCACCTGCTTCTTACTGGGAGAGTGATCTTCTTCTTCATCACCGTCCCACTGTCTCTTCAGTGATGAGGATGATGAGGATGAAGCTGAAGTCTGGGAAGCTGGTCCTATGCTGTCCTGATCAGCACATTTCCTGTCCGCCTCAAACAAGCCTTTGAAAAGACAAGTAACGTTAGTACATTAATATTTACGTTATGAAATGTGCGTTCAGTTTTTAAATACACTAATGGACCACAGAGAAAACACACTTCAAGAAAAAAATGATTTGAAATGGAAAGCAATGCATATAAATGAAGTGCATGCAGACAGATCAATGTGAAGGTAAACTAGCAGTGCGTCAGTGTTGCATCTGCTCAGAGACTGACTGGCACTGCTTGAACTTAGAATGAGACAAACATTATACATCATATTATGTACATGATTATGTAACACGCTGAAGACTGAATCGATGTTGCTGCACTCACTCGACTTCTGCGCCATCATGTATCCCCAAGCAGCGCTCTCGCTCTCTCTGCACGGATCTTTACTGCTCTGTTTCAGATGAGAGAGCCGCCTACAGGACCGGCGCACTGTCGTCTCACTGCTCACTCACTGCCAGTGCGTTTTAAAATGACTACATGATGGAGCTAAATGCAATATGGAACGATAAGCATTCAACATTGAACATCACTTCACTGTATATACATACACACACACACACACACATATATATATATACATACACACACACACAAACATATATATATACATACACACACACACACACACACACACATATATATATACACACACACACACACACATATATATATACACACACACACACACACATATATATATACAATTTCCCACAACGCATTGCGCGCTGCTCAGGGTCTCTGAATGACAGAAAGGACATGAATACATGCGTGTGTGTGGTAGGGGAGTCACATCGAGCCGGCTCTAATCACTCCTGTATGTAGCTGTGCACATTTCTCATGGCGCGTTGTGTGTTTAGACACAGGACGGGTACAACTTTGATTAGTTTAGCAGGTCAGTCAGTAGACATCCCTTAGCAAAGCTAACGCTAGCTGACTCACGTTTGGTGACTACCGTAACACTTCACAAGTTAATACGAAACACTTGAGTTTTGGGAGGTCGGTCTGTGATTTCTCCCCTTTAAAGCGTCTTTGTAAATGTGCAGCTGATTTATTTATGTTTTCTTCGATGTTTTCAGCTGCTGAACCGATGGGATATTGAAGGTAGGAACAATAATTCTCGTCAACTGACACGATACACGGGATTTATTATAAATCTACAGGGTTTGTCTGTTGTCAGCCAAAGAATAAGTGGAATCACAAGCTTCAAATAAAATCAGGCTTTAACACATCGTAATGAGCAGTGCTGGGGGTAACGCATTACAAGTAACGCGAGTTATGTAATCAGATTACTTTTTTCAAGTAACGAGTAAAGTAACGCATTACTTTTTAATTTACAAGAAGATATCTGAGTTACTTTTTCAAATAAGTAACGCAAGTTACTTTTTTCCCCAATTTATTGACTGACAGCTCTGGTGTCCCCATGCTGAGAGAAAATGTACTTTCCCTTCAGCCTGAGGCTTATTCATTTCACTTTTGGTGTGAAAGGGCTTTTATATTTGACAAAAATAGAACTTTTTAAACATTTGAAAAACAAACAAGCAAGCCCTGCCCAGATTTCAAAAGTAAGGTAACACATTACTTTCCTTAAAAAGTAACTAAGTAACGTAATTAGTTACTTTTTTAGGAAGTAACGCAATATTGTAATGCATTACTTTTAAAAGTAACTTTCCCCAGCACTGGTAATGGGCAGTAGAAAATATGGACAAATCTTTAGTATTCTTGAAAACTGTTTGGTAAATATGAATGTAAATATATGTGCTTCTAATGTCAGTGTAATACCAATCATTTAATACAAGTAAATTAGGGCAGATACTGATGTGGTTAGTGCTATTTTTATTGTTCTTTTTTCTTAACAACAAATCGTCAGATACTGTAACAGTTTGAGTGAAATTGAAATAGAAAATCTTTGTTTTCTTCAATGCCAGCAGCACTCGAGCTAACATGAACTGTTACTATTGAAAATAAAATGTATATTAAAATTCTCTATCGTAAATTAAACCGATTCAAAGAGCGTTTTGAGCTTCAATAGAATTATTTATTATTTTTTTCTAGAAATAGTACATTTTTTTCATATAATGTTGTTTCTCCTTTTTTAAAATACCTTTATCACTATTTTTTAATTCCTTAAAGGGGTCCTATTATGCTCTTTTACAAAGTCTTGATTTTGTTTTGGGGGTGTACTAGAACATGCTCTCATGCTTGGTGGTTCGAAAAACTCATTATTTTTCACAATTTACATGATTAAAATACCTTTCTCCCCATCCTGGCACAAACGGCTCGATTAGTTCCGGCTTTGATGAAGGTCCGCCTTCCAAAAAAACAAAGTGTGTTGTGATTGGTTAGCTGTCCCAGTGCGTTGTGATTGGCGAACAGCTTAGACGGTGTTTTAGTACTGCCACGCCCCTTGCTCTGTCTTTCAACAAAAGCTTTTTGGTGAATACTGTACTCCCTCATGTTGTGGAAGCTGTCCTCCGTACGAGTAGCGTAGCGTCTCGTTGACACCACATCTTTAAAATTCAAATACATTATTTTCTATGAGTGTAGGCACACCGGCGGCGTCTGTCCGCGGCGCCCAGCTACGTTGTGTTGTACTTGTAAGAATTGTTCTAGACATGCCGAAAATTTGAGGCTACAGCACAGCAGCTCTTCTTCTTTGTCGTCTCGTCTGATGCACTAACTCTGCAGCAGCTCTTCTTCGTCGTCTCGTCTGATGGACTAACTCTGCAGCAGCTCTTCTTCTTCGTCGTCTCGTCTGATGCACTAACTCTGCAGCAGCTCTTCTTCTTCGTCGTCTCGTCTGATGCACTAACTCTGCAGCAGCTCTTCTTCTTCGTCGTCTCGTCTGATGCACTAACTCTGCAGCAGCTCTTCTTCTTCGTCGTCTCGTCTGATGCACTAACTCTGCAGCAGCTCTTCTTCTTCGTCGTCTCGTCTGATGCACTAACTCTGCAGCAGCTCTTCTTCTTCGTCGTCTCGTCTGATGCACTAACTCTGCAGCAGCTCTTCTTCTTCGTCGTCTCGTCTGATGCACTAACTCTGCAGCAGCTCTTCTTCTTCGTCGTCTCGTCTGATGCACTAAATCTGCAGCAGCTCCTCTTCTTCATCGTCTCGTCTGATGCATTAACTCTGCAGCAGCTCTTCTTCGTCGTCTCGTCTGATGCACTAACTCTGCAGCAGCTCTTCTTCGTCGTCTCGTCTGATGCACTAACTCTGCAGCAGCTCTTCTTCGTCGTCTCGTCTGATGCACTAACTCTGCAGCAGCTCTTCTTCGTCGTCTCGTCTGATGCACTAACTCTGCAGCAGCTCTTCTTCGTCGTCTCGTCTGATGCACTAACTCTGCAGCAGCTCTTCTTCGTCGTCTCGTCTGATGCACTAACTCTGCAGCAGCTCTTCTTCGTCGTCTCGTCTGATGCACTAACTCTGCAGCAGCTCTTCTTCTTCATCGTCTCGTCTGATGCACTCACTCAACCTAGCTTTCTAACCACAACCTCCCCCCTCCCCACCCCCCAATCATTCGAATTTCTGTAGGTGGGAATTCTTTTTAATGATATTCTAATGAGCCACATTGTGACATCACAAACCCCGGAAACCAACGCTGTAGTCCAAACGAGCCGTTCGTTGTAGTTCTTGAAAAGGAATTTTTAAAAAACGAAATATCTCCCTTTGGAGTGGACTTTGAGATTTGTAACTTTCTAGATCTTTTTTATGCCCAAACATACACACTACACACCGACTAAAATCAAAAAAGTGAAAAAGCATAATAGGACCCCTTTAAAACATTTTTGCCGTTTAAATATAATAAAAATAATAATAAAGACGATAAATAGTCTCAATGTGGTCTCGGACTTTTGTTTATTGTGTTTTTTGGTGTATCTCATACTACTGACCATACGCTTATATCTTAGAGAGTTTTCTTCATTGTCATTTGTGATCTTGTCTTCTTTACTTCGGATGTTCTCTTGCTCTCACAGTCAGGTCCCTGTCAGACTGTGGTCTTGTCTCTCTGTTGGCAGACCGTTGGGAGCAGAAGCTTGTTTGGGATGCAGCGGTTAGTGTGCGCTAGAGTCTTCCGGCAGACTGCTGTCCTGCTGCAGATCAGTCCTCCGCCCCGCAGCCGCCCCGCGGCCCACAGCTGCTGGAAACACCTGAGCTCTCAGAGAAACACCAGCAGAGATCATCCGGGAAGCCCTGCTCCAGGGCAGGAGGATCTGGACCCTCTGCAGGACAAATCCAGCGGCCTCATTCAGAGATTCAAGAAAACCTTTAAGCAGTACGGCAAAGTCGTGATCCCTGTGCACCTACTGACCTCTACAGTGTGGTTCGGCACTTTTTACTATGCTGCAATGAAGTAAGTTGATGATGGATCACAACTGTGTCAATTTAGATCTAAATAATACTTGTTAGTCGAAGACCACTGAGTGAATCACAAATCCAATTTAGTGATGAACGCTATGGGTTATTTAACAACTGATAATATCTAGCAGGGCTGTACAATCTGCAGACAAATTTCTGATATAAATATGTGACCCTGGAGCACAAAAGCAGTCATAAGTCGCTGGGGTATATTTGTAGCAATAGTCAACAATACATTGTATGGGTCAAAATTATAGATTTTTCTTTTATGCCAAAAATCATTAGTATATTAAATAAAGATCGTGTTCCATGAAGATATTTTGTACATTTCCTACTGTAAATGTATCAAAAATGTATTATCATTAGTAATATGCATGGCTAAGAACTTCAGTTGGACAATTTAAAGGCGATTTTCCTCAATATTTAGATTTTTTTTGCACCCTCAGATTCCAGATTTTCAAATAGTTGTATCTCAGCCAAATATTGTCCTGTCCTAACAAACCACACATCAATGGAAAGCGTATTTATTCAGCTTTCAGATAATGTATAAATCTCAATTTCAAAAAATTGACCCTTATGACTGGTTTTGTGGTCCGGGTCACATTTGTGATTACAGTTTAAAAATGCTATTTAAAAGAAATTCTAGGTTTGCTGTGCTTGTTGGTAGGACTGAATAATTTGGCCATAATTTTGAGATTATCAATATGGTTATAAAATAATAATAATAATAATTATTATTATTATTTTAGTACTAAATAAAAATATTACAAATATGTAATAAAAAGCAATATTATTATAATACCGTTGTAATAATTTTACTGTAAATTAAAACTATATTTCAAGTGTTAAAGAAAAATAATACAATATTATTATTATGTATTTTGATTAATTATGCAGCCCTAATGTCTAGAGAGAATGGTAGCTGGTGGGCAGTAAATCTTAATAACATTTTATAATAATTGTTTTTTTTTTAATAAAAATGAAAAGTACAATAAAAATGATCTAATGCGACTGAAAATTTGCTGAATTTAAATCAACACTTTGTGCTCTCAGTATTTATCTGCTTCTTAATATCAGCCTGACTGATACAGTATATCATTATTGATGATATTTCAGACTGGTTAATTAAAGTAAAAGAAATAAAAACGAGATAAATAAAATGCCAATGTCCTATGAGAAGCGCAACATGAAGTTGTAGGTTCTGACAAAACAAACCAATGAATAAGGACTATCTGTGAGAGTTTTGTAGGAGAGGTTAAGCTGGTGTGTGTTGGGGGGTGTTAGGTAGGTACTGGTTAATTCTCTCTTTGCTCAGTCATTGTATGAGTATGGCGCGTGGTGGATTGAGGTAAATGACACACTGGAATGTTTACTCTGCATTACATCTGGCTGAATGTGGGTCACCACTGTCTAGACGTTTGAGAAATGTGGGAGTAATGGATGCTTGAGAATTGGCTGTTTCCTTCAGCATGACCTCACTCTGCAGAGAAGACGAGACCAGAGTCATCAGTTTGTCTCCTCAGATGTTCACCTCCAGTCTTCACAGCCTTTAGCTCTTATTAAAGATGCCCATTTGGTCTAACTTGAACATTTGATTCTTAAATAAGTATTGCATATCAGTAGATTTTTCAATATCTTCTGAAAACAAGAAGTGTATTTTTATCTTATTTTTTTTTATTTTTAAATCTACTTTTTGTTCACTTTAAATACGTGATCGTGTTAAACCACAGTGTCAGGGTTGTTATCATTAACTAAAACGAGAACTATTAAAACATTTTGATAATTGAAATAAAATAGAAATATTGGCTTATTTCAGTTAGTTGCCAAGGCAACATTTTTATTTTTGTTGAAAGTTCGAGCCTTAAAATGAGTAAATGGGAAAATAAATAGAACCTAAATATTAATATTTAGATAAAGTAATAATAAAAATGACAAAAACAAGTGAGTAAAAAGAAAACGGAGTATAAAAATAAAAGCTCAAAAAAATTCTAAAATAAACAAAAAATTAATAAAAACTGTAATAGTATATAAATAATACTAAAAATGCACTGCTCCGTACCAAATTGCAAAAATTATGACTAAATTGCAGAAATTGTCTTAAAAGGACAGTTCACCAAAATAAGAAAATTGTCATAATTTATTTACCCTCGTGCCGTTTTATTTATTGTTGTTATATTTTTCTATACAATAGAAGTCGATGGCCACCAAAAGTGGTTGGTTACCAACATGTGAATAAATGACAACATAATGTTCATATTTGAATAACTGTCCCTTAAGAAATGTAAGGCTTTTATGTGAAACGTCTTTCTATGCTTCCGGTCTTGTTTTGGTCTGTAGAGGAGTGAATCTGGTGCCATTTCTCGAGTACGTTGGGTTTCCTGATAAGGTGGTGAAACTCCTGGAGAATTCTCAGAGCGGCTACGCGCTGACCGCTTATGCCATGTACAAGGTGGGCTACCTGTCGGTTTCTAGTGAATTAATTATATCAAATAATTGACTAATGTGTTGATTGTGTTCTGATTTACAAATTAGAATGATAAAAATAACCTTCTAAAGAACTTAAAGGCTGGTTAAATATCATGAAGATCAAAGCAAAATCAAGGGCGATTTACTATAGGTTCAGTTTTCCAAAAGAATTTGCACCTTGTAAAATTGAATGGATAGAGACTTTCAATAAAATGTGTTTTCAGGCACAGTATCTTTTCACCTCAAATGATTTCATTAGAATGTCATTGACATTTTTAAGCGTGAAGAACATTTTAATAATCAGAACAACCTTTTTCCACTGTAATAAAGAGTCTTTTGTGCAATGGGAATGTCCCATGGATCTTAAAAGTTCTTCATGGAATCGTAGATTTCAATAAAGAGCCTTTATTTGCAAGAGTGTGACGCTGATTTTGTCTGCTCTCCTGAAGATCGCTACACCTGCGCGCTACACGGTGACTCTCGGAGGAACGTCGCTGTCTGTGAAGTACCTGAGGACGCACGGGTACATGTCCACCCCTCCGCCCGTGAAGGAATACCTGCAGGAGAAGATGGAGGAGACCAAAGAGAGGATCTCTGGGAAAATGGAGGAGACCAAGGATCGTATATCCGAGAGGATGGAGGAAACGAAAGACAAGTTCACAGAAAAGCTTCAAGAAACCAAAGACAAAGTGTCTTTCCGGAAGAAAAAGGAATAGGTTTATAGACTTACGAAAGTCACAAAGTGACTATCCCCCCATAATTTCATTTAGATTCACGTTATTTAACAATATAATGCACTTAAGGAAACAACATATCTCATGCATATATGAAGTAGTGTAATGTAGCCTGTAAGCTCTACACTTACTGTTCACAAAATCTGCTAAACTATCACAAGTGAGATTCATAAGTTGACCATAGTTTCTAGATATAAAATCTCACAGTCTGCTGAAAGCCGTTGGACTCTATTTGAAGTGTTTTTAAAAGACGAGAGTGTGTTTTCTAAAGAGAACGGCAGGTGTAATGTGTCCAGTATCGTATATGTAATATTTGGTTGACTTTACCACATAGCACTGGCTCTTTCAATTCATGCATTTGTGAAATTATATTTCAATTATGGATTCTAAACTGCACAGACTTGTCACATACGTTACTGAGAATGAAATGGTTGTGTCATAAAATCTCGGCTGCGTCTGAAAGCCTAGGCAGCTGACTTGCTGCCTTATGAGGCAATGCCATTGCAGGCAGCGTTTTTGGATGAAGGCACCTCATGAAAATGATTTCGGACAGGCTTCTGAGGCAGCGTAACGGATTAATGATCTACAACAAAATAGAATGAGTTTTGGTGATAACTAAACGAATATTTAATTACTATAATACTGATTTCTCGTTTAGAAATATCATCAAAAGTGCAAAATGTTAGTCAGAAATATACATTTACACACAATCGCCACCAACGCAACTTTCAGACGCCATCTTTATTTTTTAGCTCAACCATCATGGAATGGAACGCACAGGATTGTGGGATGTCAAAGGCAGTGCATATACAGATACATCTATGCTGCCTTCAAAATTCGATCAGAAGAATTCTCTGGAGACAGCAAGTGAAGCAGAATTTGGATTCGGATGTGCCTTGATGCCTTATAGAGCTTTCGGACGCAGCCCTTGAATTTATTGTAGCTTGGTATTATGCAAAAGAGTGTTGGTCAGAAAGCTGTAAGTGTGCGTTAAGATGTAATACAGTTTATGTCGTTTAAAATACCGGAAAAAAAGTAATACAGAAAAATTCACAAATAGTATGAGTTTTGGTGATAACTAAACGAATATTTAATTACTATAATACTGATTTCTCGTTTAGAAATATCATCAAAAGTGCAAAATGTTAGTCAGAAATATACATTTACACACAATCGCCACCAACGCAACTTTCAGACGCCATCTTTATTTTTTAGCTCAACCATCATGGAATGGAACGCACAGGATTGTGGGATGTCAAAGGCAGTGCATATACAGATACATCTATGCTGCCTTCAAAATTCGATCAGAAGAATTCTCTGGAGACAGCAAGTGAAGCAGAATTTGGATTCGGATGTGCCTTGATGCCTTATAGAGCTTTCGGGCAGCAGCAATACAGTACGAACTCAAAGGTATTATGCAAAAGAGTGTTGGTCAGAAAGCTGTAAGTGTGCGTTAAGATGTAATACAGTTTATGTCGTTTAAAATACCGGAAAAAAAGTAATACAGAAAAATTCACAAATAGTGCTGACGTTCATTCTGCGAATCATCAACAGCCTTTGTGTCTTGTTTCCAATTCAGTACACTCCTGCCATATTCATGCGTTTCATTTATGTGAGCTCGTGTTCAGCTGTCGGTGTCTGTGGAGTGTCACATTTCTCAAGTCCTGTTTTTCCTCGCTTTGGCATAGTAACTAATGAAGGTTATTAATTGAACTGATTGTCCGGCAGTAAATGTGTCTGCTGCTGAAGCACTCGGGCTGTTTGGGTCTGATGGGATTGTGAGGCCTTTTATTGTCTGCTGATGGATCTTCCACTTGGCTGTCAACAATAACAATAAAAAAGATAAACATATCAACGCATTTCACGAAGCATGAAGTAAAATTGAAATGTTTTGAAAGGTTTTTTTTTTTTATATGCATATTGGATATTTTTCTTAAATGAGCATTTATTCTTTATGATGGTTAATGACCAACAGCAAAATGTGAATCATTTGTGAATTATAATCAAAATGTAAAGGTCCAGCACATTTTTGTAGCATTTCGTTTTTGTCCGTGTGGATGCTTAAAGTTGCCATTTCCTACCAGAGCTGTTTTTATAATACTCAAATCAAATGATTTTTAGATTCAGTTCGACTAAGTTTAGCAGATTCTGGGCGACCACTGCTGCAAGGCTTCTCCTATCGAATGGAAAAGTGCTGGAAATGATCGTCTCAGTCAAATGGCAGACCCTACGAGGAGGAAACCTGCCTGACCATGTTTTTCTCAGGGCCCCCCCTGGAGTACTAATTATTTCCTTTATCTAAACTTGGTCCAAAATGAACATTTAATGAATTCAGAAAATTTACATGAAACTACTTTTCATTATTTTTCACAAATATTTTCTCTTTGACAATGGTAAGTTGTTTAGCTGTAACGTTCAGCCCAAAAAAAAAAACAGCAATATTTGAAATATAATACCAGCAGCCATTACAAAATACATTTATTTTGTAGAACATCTGCAACGTCTAAAAATGACACTATCGAAGTTTATTTCATGAAAAGAAATTAGCATTTGACTAAAATAATATTAAGATTTACTTAATGTGGAGTTATTTCTCACTCCACATCAATATTCATCTTTGACAACCTAAATTGTTTTAAAATTGAAATGTAGGCTACTCAATAAATACACCAATAAAATGTAGGCTATTTAAAAATCGAACACTTTTTTTCATGTAAAAAAAGTGGAGTAGCCTATATCATTTATTGGAACGATGTTATCTCGAACCTTCATATTCTAAAAACCTGTATGAGGTTGACCTTCAAACTGAAGTCGTGACTGAACCATAACACCATGCATTACTGAGATATCAGCCTACTAGAAGTTACAGGCTACACCTGTCATTCACATTTGCTGCTTTCCATCAGTTTTGTGCAATAACTTATAGTAAAGCCTCTAACGTTTATAGATAGTCTTTCCATTAAGAAGCTACTTTTTTAAAACTACATTGTTTTTATGTGCATCAGAGATTAATACTACAAACTTTATAAAATACGAAATTGTATATGTATTATTTTTGTATTTAAATAGGGAAAAAAGAGGATGTATGGTCACCCGAAAAGGCAGTTGTTGTTCACCTTGAGGAGCACAACATAAGGACAAACACAAAGCACAAAAGAGACTCATTCTGTGGTTCTTTTCCTCAACTTTAATTGCTCTCTCTCTAGCCATTTGATGACAGCGAAAGAACAAGCGTGGAATCGTTTCATGAGGGACTACAACAGTATCTTTAAGCAATAGTTTTATTGTTTTTTTTTCTTCTTCTTGTATTTATTTTTTTATGATTTTCTTTTTCAGTTGGTTTTTAAGTCACCTTTTTCCTGTAAAAGTATTGCAATTAACAGACCTCAAACTGAAAACCGCTGACATCACAATTAAATAGAACAATAGAAATCAAATCAAAAGGCGTAAGGACAGCAGCGTTCCTCGCTTTCACTGAACCGTTTCTCCTTGTAAAAAACAACAACAAAAGCTTGTAGTCCACAATAGGTCATACAGTCCCGTGATGTGATCTCGCTCGAGGCCGATGGAGAACGTTGCTGTGGATTGGCGGGAAATTCCAGATCCATGGAACGAGACGCTGAACTCACCCACAGAAGTCTTCAGGCAGTCATTCACTCGCTCGCGGATTCGTTCATTCAAGCGTGTGTTTCTGGAAAGGAGCCTGTCGGCGCGGAGAGCTCGGAACCAGACTGCTATGCCGAGGAAATAATGACAACATGAACATGCAAGTAACGATCAGCTATGGGCTGCATTTTCCTCATTTGATGCTCTTTTATATACCACACAACTCGATTATGTGCATAAAAACAACAGAATGTTAACCGTTTCCATCGGATGTGTCTCATGCGTGTCTCACCCTGAGCTGCTATGTGATATGAACCACTAAACCTTCTTCCCGGTGTAGTGTCAGAGCCCAAAAGTCGACAATCCGTTCCGTTGGTTGCAATGAGTTATTACTCTGCGTGGTTATTATTACACAACAGCTAGCAGTCACAAAATAAACTTCAATAAATAAAATGACAAGCGCTGGCATTTATAAGTCTTTCTCTGGAAGTTACAAAAGCAGCAGAGCTCTAGTTATCCTTTATATAACTGCCTTATAATCAGAATATTTGTTTCATCACATAACAGATTTGCATTTACTGTATAGGAACAAAAATATAATTTGTCTTTTTGTATTTCTGTGACCATACTGTAGCATTTCTCTTTACTCTGTTTTACAAAAAAGACAAAGCACAATTGAAGGCATTCACAAAACTTGATGCCACCATGTTAAAGTTTTCTTTTTAATATTATCTATACATTATATTACAGTATTAACAATGCGTTCTTGTGGTTTTCTACCCATTGGGTAGGATATGTGCATAATATATTCAAGTTATATACAGCACCGTACAAATAAACAGAGTCCGACTACTGAAAGAAGCACCATAGGAAGTGAGGCACAACAAAGGTGGGGACTTTTGAGTGCAAGTGGGTTTCTATGTCTGCTTAAACATGACTGTTAGGCACCGAATTTGCTCGTGTAAATAGTAACATGCAAACCTCTCGGCTGCAAACGTACAAAATACATTTGGGTTCGTTTTCCTAGCATGACTATGACAGCGGAAACGCGCTAATGTTAACGAAGAAAACCAAAACAGAGCACGAACATCTATGTCTCGGTTGGTACGCGAATATAAAAAGTAATGGGGAAGCGGACATAGGCCTACAAGCCGAACGGACAACAGCAGCAGCGGTAGCGGTAGCAGCAGCGGCAGCAGCAATACAGTACGAACTCAAAGTCGGCGGTCAGAATGAGTGACGGGAAGCAGAGCCAATGACGGGAAGCCAAGGTTTCAGAGCCGAAGCAGATGGGCCATAGGAGAGTCCTGCTATTTAAGTGGAAAAAAGATCATATAAAAGCCTCCCACTTCGACTAAATATCCTCTCGAACTGGTCACTTTAATAAATAGCTAGTTAATAAATAGGTTTTCTAAGGGACTTTCTAGGGAAGGCCAAAGACTGATGGTTTACAAAGCTCAGGGGTGATGAAAAACACTATCTGCATGTCTGAAAGCAGTCCAAACGTGTGTGATTGAATACGGACTTCAAATGAAGAAAGAGGGATGTACCTCGTTATGATTGGTACACGCTTCGTTTGAACTGATAAGAGAACAAATACTGATGACAAATATCAGGTAAAAGTGTGTTCCTGTGCTGCCTCGGAATAAAACGGCATTCCAGGAGAGGAGAATAAAAGATAAAATATGAGATCCATATACGATCGTGAACTTAAGTATAGTATGATAACTGGAAAAAAACAATACGCATGCTTTTTTTAGTGGAAAACAAACACACTCGCTCAGAAGGGGACAGGATGTGCATAAGACTACAGTTCCCATGATTCCCTTGCACTTGGACCCCATGACAATGCTGAAGTGACGTAAGTTTAAAGTGCTACTCGACAGGATGAAAGTGGCGCGCGTGTCGTGACTTCCATCCGCGGATATCCATGCCAGTATCTCTCACTTGGTCGGTGGAAAAAAGTGATCTGGAATCTGAACGGCTTGTTAAACCCCCTCTTTTTTTTAAATAAGTGCCATGATGCAGTTCAGGTAGGCTGGATCAGAGTTCTACATCTCCATTTCAGGAAAACACGAAACGTGAAAAGGAAGGAAAACAAATACCAGGAACCATGTGGCTTGACATATGAAAAGTAACTAAGGGTAGGCGTTTCTACTCTTTAAAGAATAAGTGCAACATAAAAGCTTTGTTGTTGTTGTTGTGAGTCACATCCCCAAGATTTAAGATTTTTTCATGGCACTCAATTTTGATTAGTTGTGAACAGTTTTTGTGCACGAGTCCTGGAAATGCACAAACAAATAGAAAATGTCTCAATCCTATGACCTATGTGGTCTCTCACGCAAACAATCTGTGCCAACACACGTGTTCTTTAAATACAGGAAAGCATACAAAACCAAACAAACAGAGATTTAGCCGAGGAGCCCAAACATCCATACAAGGCCCCGAAGTTCTAGCAAAAAAGTAAAAATAAAAATACAAAAAATAAACTTTGTATACTTGGTTCCTCAATTTTCGATTCAAATTGTGCAAGGGGAGTGTACTAACAGTGAAGCCACTCCCCTTTAGGTCCAGGAGGAAGTACTAGAGAGCACAGGTGACGGCACACGCTCTCTACTGCCCTCTGCAGGTGTGTCCTAGTCACACGGGTTTGTCGCGCCGGCTATCCTTGACCTTGACGAACAGGGTTGTGCTTGCGCAAGGCTGGGCGGGGCGGCTGGCTGTCCTCTGGTTGGAGGGTGGTGTGTTATTGCTGTGCTGGTGCAGGAAGGAGGCGGAGCCTGGGTACGTCTGACCCATCACCTCGCTATAGGTGGGCGGCGGCCCCTCCACGTGCGAGTTCGAGGCACTCTTGCCAGAGTTGGTGCTCGGGGGCTGTGGGCCGCCTCCGTGCACGTAAACGTCTATCAGGTCGCTGTCGAAAATGGTCCGGTTGGGGGGCGCGCGCACGGACGCACGGCTCAGCTCGAGCTGCTGCTCGGGGTCTCTGAGCTGCAGGGTACAGGGGCCCTTGTAGGGCGGCAGCTCCTCGCCATCTGACAGGCAGATAGTGGGCGGCAAGTGGATGTCCTGCTGCAGGTATGGGTAGGTGGGCTGGAAGCGGCTGAATCGGTCCCTTTGCATAAATGAAGGTGGGTTGAAGCGCTCTCCACTCCGTGGCCCATACATCACCTGAACACAGAGAAGAAAACATTCATTATACCAGGGATCCTCAAATCTGGCCCGCAGGTTCATTAGAAAATCACAGGTAGCTGAGTTTGGTCAGGGTTGGAGCTAAACATTGGCCCTCCAGGGCAAGATTTGAGGAACCCTGCATTATACCTTTAAAAATTAACTTAAGAATAAAAATAAGAAAAATGCAAACATGCAGCCAGACTAATTATACAATTCGTTTTTACGATTTTTTTAATGTATTGAAAGAAGTGTCTTACGTGCCTCAAGGCTGCATTTATTTGACCAAAAATACAGTAAAAACAGCAATATTTAGAAATATTTTTACAATTTAAAATAACTGTTTTTAATTTGAATGGAATTTAAAATGTAATTTGTTCCTGTGATGTAAAGTTGAATTTTCAGCATCATTACTCCAGACTTCAGTGTCACATGATCCTTCCGAAATCATTCTAATATGCTGATTTTTTGCTCAAGAAACTTGATTATTATTATAAATGTCGAAAACAGCTGTGCTGCTTAATATTTGTGTGGAAACCATAATACTTTTTTATTCTGGATTCTTTGATCAATAGAAAGTTCATGCATCCTTGCTGAATAAAAGTATTAACTTATTAACAGTAGTGTATATTTAGTAAACATTACATATAAGTAAATATGGCTCTTTATGACTTTGCACTGTTATATTGTTGTATATAATAAAAAGGATATATTTGTATTTATTTAGTGCAAATAGAGTCATTTCAGAGCATTAATGTTGAAATATGTTGATTGTCCATGAAAGGGTGAAAGAAATATTATGATTTTACAAAATTATCGTAGCTATGTTGCCCAGCCATAGACACGACAGTAAAACATAAGAGAAGTTGAATAATATGTCAGTTAACTAACCTCAGTGGCTCCTTGTTGCGTCACCAAACTATCTGTTGGCCATGCACAGCCGTCCTATGATAGAGAAAAGAAAGGCCGATGTGAGTCATGCATTAAGAACAAGACAAATCAACTTCATCTCATGCATTCGAGTTTTAAGTTTGGGTAGAAATACTCAAATTCGCTCCAGGCATCAGAAAAGTTTATCTAAATGCACATGCAGTAAATATGAGAATATATTAATATCATGCATTATTAATTCAAGACTGCTGGTTAGTCTTCATGCAGCTTTAGAAACTGTGCTATTCTCTAAATATGAGCTTGTTTCTGAATTTAAGAGCTTGGTTCCTTTCATGCACTGCATCTGTTCCTAAATCACATCTTCACCTTCTTCATATCTTTTTATGACTCTCTCTCTCTCTCTCTCGTTCTGGGAGGTGCGTCTAGACAAGCATGTCTCGCTCTCAACTACAGGACGTAAATCAACATAAAGAAGAACCAGAGATGTGCAGAACTACGTATTTCCAAAATCAACTAGTCTGTGGGTTACCTACAAATGACTAGTTTGACTTCTGTATGAATAGGTTGGTTTAGCGTCAAGCCCACTATCAGACATGTTTCTTAATGAAATATGGATAACGCTAACCTTTTATAGCACAAAATGACCATAGTCCACACAGAAAACAGAGACCTGTGGATTATAATGCATTATAAAAAATATTAAAGGCACAAGTCAACCTCACTAATGGAGCCAGTCGACCATCCTGACCCATCCCTAGTAACTACATAATGCATTTGTGCAGGTGTACCGACACAAAGACCCTGAAGCTGGCACGCACATCGCTGAGTCCCATATGAACACGGTCACAAAGTCACACACATGGTGATCAAACAAAAGAACAGGAACTCTACACCCACTCAGTGTGCACACAGACAGGACACACATGGTGACTGGAGAATCAAACACACACACACACACACACACACACGCTTACCGGCTGCATGCCCTCCTCTCGTTGACGGGCCTGGCTGTGGCGTGTGAGGAAGGCCCAGGCCGATAGCCGATAGTGGTTCAGCAAACAGATGATTACAACTACCATTACAGTCATCACCACAATTATGATTATTATCTGAACAAACTCCAGTTCAGCTGCAAGACAAGAAAACAGAGAGAAAACCATTAGCATATTTCACACATGCACAGAGCTGCAGAAGTTACAACATTTTTATATTTTCAATCTATTTTCCCTGTGCAATCTAGTTCCTGCTAGGTTTTTTTTTTATTGCTTGTTTTATTATCCGCCAGTTGAAAATCATAGCTTGATTGCTTAAAAAGATAAACACCACATCTAACCTCAAAAATGCACATAGTTTGACCAGATTTCATTCATGTTTGCAGCATAAACAGTACAAGACAAGCATTCACTTTTAGGGGTTATGTTTCATTGAAAATAGTGATTACTGTTAATGATTTATGAGCTTTCAGGAACATCAGAGAGGCAATGTAAAGCTAGACAGCTGCTTATGAATACAAGTAATGACCAAGCGGCAACCTCCCGCTCTCTCTCGTGAAGCCAACACGGAAGTGACTTAAACTGTAATTCATCGACAGGCCGCTAGAGGCTAGCTGCAAAAGGGAGTCAAATCCCATAGACCCCCATGTTAAAATGCCCAACTTTACAGCAGAAATAAACGTGTTTACAGCCTGGTTCAAAAAATTATTTTGGTCTATATAGCTAATTTTGCCCTTCATGATAACTGAGAGGGGGGTGAATTTTTTTACAACTCATCCGTTTAAATTATATTAAGCCTTAAAGTTCTGCATAATTAAGGGCGTGGCCACTTGAGTGACAGGTGGATTGCCGCTGCTGTCACCACTGTCGAGCTAGGTGGGCATGGTTTCAGCAACCAGCTCCCGCCTCTTTGCCCATTTTCAATTATCCGGGAGTGACGCGCTGCCAAGATGGTGACGACCGACTCCGCCCACTTTGAGCTTCAAAAACGCTCTTCAGGAACCTACGGGTGACGTCACCAAAAGGGTTTGGCTGCAGCCTTGCACTTGCACTCTCAGACTTGCACTCTCAGACACTTGCGCTTCCGCTAGCGACGTCACTTGCAGTCTTTATTTTTTATTTTGTTCTATTTTTTATTACTTTTTGCTTGAATCTCTCAACATTTTACAACAGTAGCCAGGTGGTGAAGACAAGAAAAAAGAAACTAAATTACAATGTCACTTGCAATCGCCACTTGCACTCTCCGCTACCTGCGACGTCACTTGCAATCGACACAAATCGTGCGTGTTGCCAATGGAGACAAGACGCTGTGGTGCTGATTAAACGATTACAACTAATTTAGTACTATAACATACAGGGTCCTGCAAGAAAAAGACAAGGCCTGCAAATCTGTCGCCACAGAACAGCAGAATATGAACGCATGGCACAAAGTATCTCGTTAAGCGTTTTCCTCCTATAGAAAAAAATAAACACTTAACATGGCGTAATGTATTAAGATGCTATTAAAATATCAAATTAAATATACAGTTTATTAATATAATGAGTATGTATATAGTATTTTCCTCCCATACCGCAAAACGTGGCATGATGTGGCATAATGGACTTTTTGTGTTAAGCGTTTTTCCATATAGAATAAACAGTCTACAGCTCTTTTATATCATAGTCTTTGTCCATTAAGCTACATTACGTGTTTTATTTATAATGATTTTCTATGGGAGGAAAATGTTTAACGTGCAATTTTACGCATTGCGTTCTGGGCTCGTCTGCTTGCCTGTATGGAGTTGATCCTTTTAAAATCACTTAATGCATTTCATAATGCACGTTCATATTTGCTGTTCTGTATATACTTTGAGTCAACAACAAGACATATAGGCTACTGAATTGTCTTTATCATCCGTTGTTATGCCACATTAAGCGTTTTGCTGTATGGGAGGACAAGTGAAAGTTTGCGCATTGTGTTCATGGCCATCTGCTTGCCTTGTAGTACATTAAATAATAACTATATATTGTATGTATCTTAATACATTAAGCCATGTTAAGTGTTTATGTTTAGGAGGAAAACGCTTAACGAGAAACTTTGTGCCATGCGTTCATATTCTGCTGTTCTGTGGCCACGGATTTGCAGGTCTTGTCTTTTTCTTGCAGGACCCTGTATGTTATAGTATAAAATTAGTTGTAATCATTTAATCACCACCACAGCGTCTTGTCTCCATTGGCAACACACACGATTTGTGTCGATTGCAAGTGACGTCGCAGGTAGCGGAGAGTGCAAGTGGCGATTGCAAGTGACATTGTAAGTTAGTTACTTTTTTTCTTGTCTTCACCACCTGGCTACTGTTGTAAAATGTTGAGAGATTCAAACAAAACGTAATCAATAAATAGAACAAAATAAAAAAATAAAAAAGACTGCAAGTGACGTCAATTGCGGAAGCGCAAATCGCGGAAGTGCAAGTCTGAGAGTGCAAGTGCAAGTCTGCAGCCAGACCTTTCTCGACGTCACGGACACTACGTCCATGTTTTTATACAGTCTATGGCAGTGGTTCCCAAACCTGTCCTGGAGGCCCCCCTGCCCTGCACCTTTTGTATGTCACCCTTATCTAACACACCTGATTCCACTCATCAGCTAAAGACTGCAAGAACTAAATTGGGTGTGTCTGATTAGGGAGACATACAAAATGTGCAGGGCAGGGGGTCCTCCAGGACAGGTTTGGGAACCACTGGTCTATGGTAATGACATGGCAAGCCCATCATGTTCTTCATTCTTACCACCAGGGGGCAGTAACGTGAACACAACTGAGAGTATCGAGATTGACAGACCAAAATCAGACTTCAAAAGTGACGCGACAGACTAATCCACAAAAATGTGTGACAACATGACGTTTCAAATGGCTTTTCTGACCTACATCAAGTCAAAGAATGGAGATAAAAGAGAAACGAGAGAGTTTTGGGGTTATTTTTATTATTAATGTGATTTGGATTTTAACAAGAGCAGCACAGCTCAATACGTCTGCTAGGCCACAGCTCTGATTTCATAAACTGATTATGTCATGGGTAGACCTCACTCAATCAAAGGAAGGAATTCATTTTTTGTTAATCTCGTCATCCTTCCTCATCTCAGAGGAGCATGTATTGAGAATCCTTTGAAAGGAAGTGCCTGAATGAACATGACAGTCTACTCATCATCGCTTTAGTGATGCTTCTCCAGCAATTGTGAAAAACGCTCAGACATGTTGTTCCAAACAGGGTAGACCTCTCTTTCAACCTCCTGCCGACCCTTGAAGACACAGATGGGCCCAGTCAAAACAGACTTGTTCTTCAGTCACATGAAAACCATGTAGAAATATGCCACACATACATTCAGAGAAATCTTGTTATCCCTGCTGCCCACTGACTGAGTAACCCAGACAATTGCATCTGACACGTGAAGGTTTATTATGAGACAATGGAAAAACTGCTGCAAAGCTGCGTGCGACACTGAAGTAAACCCTCACACAAACACCATCAGCTGTCTAACACAGTCTACACTAGGGTGATCATACGTGCCATTTTCCCAGGACGCGTCCTGGCCAGGAGTTCTATATTGCCTAAAATATCTAGGTTTTGGCTTTGTTTGCGTGTGCAGACTGTTCGATTTAAGACAACAAAATACCTCGAGAGCATTTTGAAAGCATAAGGAACCGTCTGTATGGTATTTTGATGTCATACACCGATCGGCCTGCACACGCAAACAAAACAAATAACTAGATATTTTAGGCAATATAGAAATCCTGGCCAGGATGCGTCCTGGGAAAATGGCATGTATGGTCACCCTAGTCTACACTGATGTTAATGGTAATCATTGTCAAACATACAGCTATGACATCAGCAACACACGGGGCTTTTTTTTTACGCAGGAAAAAAGATCTGAACGAAATGGGTGCTTTGACGGTCTTTTCCAAGAAGCTACAAATTCAAATTCATCCTCTTTAAAGTCGGCATCTATTTTCCAAATGCATGTTATATATCTTATTGTGAACATTTAATTTTATTAATTGACCTCATAAAGTTTCACAACAATTTCATGACGGGATCTTCTGGTGAAAACATCAGACTTCTCTCTGGTAATGTATGCTGGACTTCTCCCATCATTCAGTCCACTTGATCCGGCCCCTGCAAGCTTATCTGCCTCCACTTTTGAGTGCAACATCCACCTCTCTCAATCCAATCACCATCCGATGCATTAAACCAAGTCCTCGCTCTTTTTTGATAATCCGTAACACTCGGATAAACATCACCATAAAGAAGAAAAGATCTGTCACTACTTCCGGTAGTTCCTCATTGCGACTTTAAGTCAAATTAATCAATCAACCTCAATAACTGACTTCTCAGTGGACTAGTCAACCATCCTGACTCCTCTCTACTGAAAACCAGTTTTGTGTACTGTAGCTAGCAGTTTCTTTAGGTGAGCAGTCTCAAAACTTTAGTTTCTGACCTTTCCATCATGGCCACTTTCTCTCTACAAGAACAAGGCCGTACCCAAGATGCAGTTGGGCCATGTAGTGACAATGTTAAATAAGCTGCGTTGGCGCTGGCTCTTTGCCACGGCTCCTCTGGAGAGAGTGCTTGCAAGACAAGGCCCCATCTGTTGAGGGCTTGGAGGAGAGGACCAGAGACCAGACGCAGCCCAGGAGTTAACCCAGCACAGGAGATAAACCGGCCCAAATCTGCTGCTCCTAACCGGATTATGGCCTGAACCAACTCCAAGAGACAGACAACTGGTGGTAGTTTGAGGGGGATTGGGAGGGGTGAACATGTAACTGACACATCTCATCCTCCGAGACACTAGGGTTGTAATCTCAGCCAACCTAGAGTAGCAGGCACTGCTCTAGCACCATTCCTCCATCCAGGACTGTCCACTGCTACTTTAACACACTGTAACAGTTTTCTCTAAGCTGCCAGGCTAATCTTCTCAGAGCATCCTCACTCGGTCCTCCTTAAAAATGACCTGTTCTGACCCAAACAACCCAAACAAGAGATGATGGCATCTAATGCGGTAAAAATGGACTGTAGTCAGTGGGGTTGTGCCGATAAACGATAGTATTGTGTATCGACGATAGTCAGAGATATCGCCTGTGGCTCATGCCTTTTACGATATCAA